GATATGTGACTTTGTATTGCTTTCAAAAACTCTAATTTTGTATTCACTAAAACAGCTTCTTTGTTGTCACTGATTAATTTTGTAACGAGATATGACATAGTTAAACTCATAAAAATAAATGTTACTGATTTTAAAAATCCAGTGTTTGTTGATGCTCTATGTTGCCATCCCGAATAAAATTTCTACTGGAGGAAGGGATTTCACTATTACAAATTATTTTAAAACATTTTAAAATTACATCCTAGGAAATGTCGATAATCCCTTCACATTCTAATGGCTGTGATTCTTTAACAATAAATTATCTTCAACTTTGTGTCATGTTCTGTCAACAGTGAAGTTGAGAAGGATGGGGAAGTTAACATAAACATAGCAAGTGCTATGGAGGGCAGCAGAGGCGGTTCCAACCAGTATCCACATCCCTAGGGTGAAGTGGCATTTATGAGTCTCTACATCTCACACTTTCTTCTGAGTTCAAACTGACCAGTCCCTTGGATTATTATAGGAGTTACACAATTTTATTCTTGTTCCATGGATTGAGAGCTAAATGTTGGGCAAACTCTTTGTTATAGAGCACACTAATATTAAGTATCTTATTGATTCCACTTTTCAGTCCAAGCATACTGTAGATGCTTAAAGTATATTCCCTGTGTCTTAAATATGCAACTTAAAATCTCTCCTTTATCCCCTGGTATCATTCATAAACAAATACTATCGTGTGCTCACGAGTTTCTTTAATTGGAGGACCAAAGACAGGTTTCTCTTCATCCCTGGCTTAAAATGCTCCCAGACACTTCCTTCATGATTAGCAGCTTTAGTTTTATCACCATGGGTAACTGTTCTTCTGTCTAGGAGTTTTCAGTATAGAATTAAGAGCATGGCTTTGGAGTTCAGATGAATCTCCCTTTGAGTCTTAGCTCTAACATTTAATATACGAATGAACTTGGGGGGTTACTTAACCTCTCTGAAATTCATTTTCCTCACTTATATGGGATCATTAAATCATCCACTTCACAGAGCTGTTTTGGATATTAAATACACAGTTTCTGGTACATAGTGAACGTTACATAACGTTGGCCTTGGCTATATTTTCTGACCACAGTATCATATCATTATATGATATCATCATCAGAGGTAGTCAGTGGCTTAAAAGCATCTCCTGGAAGCATCCATTTCTTTGCATTTGAAAACCACTTTCTCTTACATGGTTTGCCATCCTCCAGGAGGCCAGTCCTGGCTTCTCACACAGAAGGTTTTTCTGCAAGCAATAAGAGAGAGCTAGCCCCAGTGCACAAGTAATTTTCCAGCTTCTGCTACATTACATTTGCTAATGTCCCATTGGCCAAAGCAAGTCACATGGCTGAGCCCAGAGACAAGCAGAGGAAATGGACTCCCATCTCTTCATGAGGGAGGCTGCCAAATATCACGGCCTTTCCACCCCCCCACCACCCACGTCTAAGCAATAAATAGATTCCCATGATCTTGAGAAAAAAACAGTCTTCTTTATTTTGATAATAAAGCTATGTTTAATAAGCACTTGATAATTTCTAAGCCTGAGAGGTGGTTTAAATAGATACTCTTATTTTCATTCACATAACTGATATTTAGAGAGTCCGTATGCAATGTCTGAGGGTACATAATGAATCAGCTTGGACTAGATTTTGAAGTCTCATGACTGAAGTAATGGTTCTTCCTAGTGTACTGGACTTGGCTTATTAAAACTAGTCCCTTTTAAAATTTGTGACAATTTGGTACCATTACTTTGTTTTTCATTATGACCCAGAGGTCATTAATTTCCCCGGTGGGCTTGATCCTTTTGCTTAATTCTTAAGACATGAAAATAATCCATTTACAAAACAGAAGACATCCTTCTCTTATAACTTTGTAATCTAACTCTAGCCTCTGTTGTTGTCTTTGTCTTTTTGAAAGCATTATAACTCGTGCTTTTCAATAGCCATGTTGTGAGAGGGTAGGCTGCTTGTCGAATGGTTAAATAAGTCGTTGTAGTTACTAGTCGGTGTGTCCCTTTCAATGCCACTGACTAACTTTCTGCCGCCACCGCGCTAGACTAGAAATTGGTATAAATAGTGGCCTAATAAAATGCATGCCCACTTACAAGGTCCTATAAGATCAAGATCAAGGTTCTGTGCTAGAGCTACATAACCATGACCCACAGTGGTTCCATAATTGGATGTGGAAACCGTGCAATTTAAACTAAAATTCAAGATACTTTCATTCCTGCTCTTCCACCCTTGTTACTTATTTATTTTTTCGTTGACAAGATTAATAATAATGCTTATTTTCTATGACACTTTATAACTTTTACATACTTCATTCAAATATCGCAAAAGACTGGGGCATATAATAAAATACTATTATAAAATCTGTATCTAGTTATAGAAGAGAAAACTGAGGTGGCAAAAGGTAGGTTACTTTCCTGAGATCGTGGCGCCCAAAGAGAACATACACCCCACCTGCCCACCCTCATTTTTTTGACTCAGTGCATGTGCTTTCTTCATTTTCACATTGCCTCAGTTTACCTTTGCAAAGTGATGGAGAGCACACTGCCTTCATTCTGATCTCCAGTACTATTTATTTTGGGTTTAAATATATATTGAATTATACTGCTACTTAACTGTTTCATAAAGCCTCATTTTCGTAATAGTACAGTAAACTTTTTAAGACGCCCCCCCACCCCGCCATGGATTCTCCCACATCACCCTCCATCCTGTTGAGAACCTAGAAGGCCCGCAGGAATGCTTGTAGAACCAACTTGTCGCTAAAATGACTGAAGGTGAGACTGGCAGGCTGCCGTGGGAGAGGGAGGGGTGTTTTATTGTCTCATGTAGTTGCCTCTTTAATGGAAGCAGCTGTCGATACCAGGCTGCCCACAGAAACCCTCAGGTCTGTTTTCTCCCCTTCTGTTTAGGCTTCCCTGACATACATCTGCTCACATCCCGCATTCATCCACAATTATTTGGCCCCACATGGTAGGTTTAAAATAGGTCAATATGCACCATAGTAAGACATCTGAGGCGTGCTGCGGGGACTCTTCGCCAAGTGGAAGGTCTGTAAAGGTCCTTCTCTCCCCAGGCCAACGGCGAAGGTGTAGGTAGTTTCTGACAGGGGCAGGTCAGCAGTGTGCCATCCCCTCCCCCAGCCTCCATCCCAGCCCCTCCCTCCTGGACTCCCCTCCTCACCTTGAGGGCCACATGCTTCTCCTCAGCTCAGCACCTCTCCCCGATCTTATATTCTATTTTGAGATCACCTAGTCTTCGATTTTGTTAAGCCATGTGACGTGTAACGTGTTTTGTTCTCCTAGGTTGGCAAGTCGCCATTGTTTTTCACTAAAACTTACTTTTGCGTGGTCAGGAAATGTCAGCATTTCACCATTCTTCTTATCTCATTCTTACCATTTCTTTTCAAGCCCCGCTAATGCTGCTGTAAGCAGCTTGCCCTTTGCAGGTGTTCATTCTTTCATTCATGTTTCTTCACAGGCACTTTGCCTGGTGCTGGGCATGTTACAAGGTGCAAAAGCAGGCGCCATTCCTGTGTGTACAGTTATTATGGACTGATGGGGAAGAGAGCGTTTAATCAAATGGTCAGAGGGATAAGTGTGGAAAGGTGCTACAAAGAGAGACACACGTGATGATCCACGAGGCTCGAACCAAGTCAGACAGATCAGGGAGCATTGCTGGGGAAGGGACTCTGGAACAGAGACCTGAAGGCAGAGGAGGGCTTACAATCCATGGAGAAGAGAGTCAAGTAAAACAGCAATTATGACACATCTCCATGCCGGGATCAACAAATATGGCGGGCATGTGAAGTGTAAGGGATGGATAAAATATAGTGGCGGGGGAGAGGGGGGAGGTGGGGACTTGACATGGTCTGAGAGAATTAAGGAAGACATCCTGAGGGGGGTCATATAAACTCAATAGGAATAATGAGTAAAAATTATGTGAAGATGAGGAAGGGGAAAGAAGACATCCCATGCAAGACCACGGAAGGGCACAACATTGTAGACGCTGAAGTGAGGCTGAGCAGCTCAAGGTGTAAGGGGACAGACAGGGACACAGCATGGGCAGCCTTTCAGGTAAAGGTGATATAACAACCTACATGCAGAGATCATTGTTACTACTGCTGCGTCTAAAACAACTCTCCCGGGATGGAATTTTTTTCCTCCAATCTCAGAAATAAAATACTAGTTTACAGTCCAGCTAATATGTACATTATCAAAATAAAATTATGGGAGAACACATGCACACTCCGCTGGTAGTGCCAGGGCTTCCAAAAGTGGCCCAAGTTGATGGACTCCAAATTGAAATTCAGAATGAATGAAACCTGAACATCAGGAAACTTAGTCTGTAGGAAAGTTACCTCTTTTCACATCCATGGCACTACCACATTCCCCCTTTCTTTTTATGTTTAGTTTCCTGAAGGTGAGATGAGTACTCCTGTTTTGTGAACTTCCTCAGATCAAGGGAACTACCCTCACTCCCTTTCCCATCTGACTTTCATCATCTTCAGTCAGTGACTTCAATAAAAGTAGGCTTCAAAGAAAATGAACCTAACAAATTTTAAATCTCAGAGCCTGTATTTTTTTTTTTTCTTTCCCCAATCTTTCCTATACTGGATATGATCAGTTGTAGGTAGTCAGTGGACATAGTTCCCAGAAGCTGAGAGTGAATTTTATCTCAACAGTCTGTCTACCTTGATCTTTTCCAGGTGAAAGGATGAGATCTTCTTTTCTAGCAGGTTGCATGCTATGCCTGTTTGCTGTACAAACAGAAGACCCTCTTAGATTGCCAATTTGTTGTCTTGTAATTTTTTTCTTTGTAGTCAAGAGAGAAAGTCAAGTTACATAATAATTATGCTTGTTTATCACCACAGAAGAAAGAACTTAAGGAAGAATTTATTACATAGTTGATATAGATGGTGATAAAAAACAGAATCCTACTAAAGACAATGGATTTTCATGACAGAATATTTTTATTCCAATGCAGGATGAAGAGGAAGAAATCAAACAAGAAATTAACATGTTGAAGAAATATTCTCATCACCGGAATATTGCTACATACTATGGTGCTTTTATCAAAAAGAACCCACCAGGCATGGATGACCAACTTTGGGTATGTAGTCCTATCCAAATCTGTTTCTTACATGAAGAACAACCAGGACCAAATGGTTCATTTCTCTATCCTCATGTCGGATTAATTAACTCCTTCTTTGAAACTCTTAGCCCCATGATTTCCACAACATTGTGTTTTCAAGGTTCTTTCCCATTTCACTAATACCTCTCCATCTTTTAAGTATCTTGTTTTTTAAGATTTTATTTATTTACTTAGAGACAGAGAAAGAGAGTTCGTGCATGGGCAAGTTGGGGGAGGGGCAGAGGGAGAAGGAGAGAGAGAATCTTAGGCAGACTCCACACTGAGCTTGGAGACTGACGTGGGGCTCGATCTCTTGACCCTGAGATCATGACCTGAGCCAAAACCAAGGGACAGACGTCTAACAGACTGAGCCACCTAGGTGCCCCTCCATCTTTTAAGTGTCTTTATTTTTTATCCCTTAATGTGAACCATCCCTAGAGCAAGTTGTTAAGGTCTCTGGCTTTTCCACTAGTTACTACATTTATTGAGTTTTTTTTTTTTTTTTAAGATTTTTTTATTTATTCATTTGAGACACAGAGATACAGAGAGAGAGAGAGAGAAAAAAAAAGCATGAACAGGGGGAGAAGCAGAGGGAGAGGGAGAAGCAGAGGGAGAGGGAGAAGCAGGCTCCTCGCTGAGCCAGGAGCCCGATGTGGGGCTCGATCCCAGGACCCTGGGATCATGACCGGAGCCGAAGGCAGACGCTTAACCAACTGAGCCACCCAGGCGCCCCCATTTATTGAGTTTTTATTGTATTTTAGGCATCATGCTATTTGCTTTTTGTGTATTATATCATTTATTCCAGCTCTTTGAGGGAGATATTATTATTTCCTCATTTCTTAGATGACAAAACTTGGGCTTACAAAGATGGTAAGTAAATTGCCCTAAGGTCTTTGTAGTTGAAATGGCAGAGCAATGATCTAACCAAGCTCTTGGAGTCTTTTTCCTTGCCTATAACTAATGTGTAGATGACTGAAATTTAAATTCCAAGTCTGTGAGTGAAATACCTGACCCAGTCTGATACTGTATAAGTACTCTTAGAGGTTGCTTTCCTATCCAGTTAGCTATGTGCCTCCATCCTGTATCTTTGACAGTCTGTTCCACTGAAAGTAGATTCAGTATGTCTGATACCAAAACCACTACTCCCCTCCCTTCCCTGCTCAGATTGCTCTTCTTCTCATCTTCCTGATTACTGGCCGTGAAACTTTTATTAATTCTTAGGCCCTCAGTCCATTCAGTGGAAGCCTAGATTTTGCAGTGGACTTCTACTTGATCTATCCATCTCTCTCTTTCTTGAATCTCTGTTCATCCCATATGTTGCTGTTGGATTAATTACTCTAAAAAATACCCTTTTAACCACTTATCATCTTATTCATTTTCTAGAGTTCTTAATATGTGTCTGGCACAGAAAATTTATTTAATTAGACAGAGCTTACTATATGCCAAATTATATACTAAATTATGTGGATCCCATGACTACTATTTCATGGATAATTTATCAAAGAATCTCAGTCTACTGTCTTAATGCAAAAGACATCTGTGGTCCAGTTGACAAGGTAAAATATACACAGTGAACCAGAGTTGGTAACCAAAAAGAATATAATAATGTTAGCTCAGAAAAATAACAAGATTTTCATGTCATTTGATAATTGACTACTACAATCTTTGGTAGTGAAAAGAGCTGCTGGTTATTTTTTTCCCTATAAGTCCCATCTATAAATTTAAAATTTAAAAAAGCACTTTTGGGTAAATAAACCCTCTTTGTATGATCACATTGATTTTATATATTTTTATGTGATTTCTGAAAGAGTTATAGTAAGATTTTAATCATGGCCTCTTAAATGTAGATATAAATTTGAAAATTAAAAATGTAAAAGTAGTAGGAGAAAGTAGATGTAACCACATAATACTAAAGAAAGATATGAGGGCGTATATGCAAGAGCATATCCACAAAACAGAATTTTGATGAACTTGCCTGTATACATTTCTTAACAGTTCCCATTACAAAAAAACCATAATAAACAAAGTAAAAATGCAAATAACTGATTTAGGAAAAAATATCCATTTGGTATATGATGAGAAAGAATTTAGTAGCCTTTAGAGATGGGGAGTTTTTATAAATCAATAGTAAAATATGAAACTAAGAGAAAGATTGAGTTAAGAACAAGACAACGATTAAAAAAGTAAGAAATATCAATTACCTGTAAAGATGTTCTTAAAATAGAATCATACCAACAACATAAATGCAAAAGAAAACAAAAATTAAATACCATTTCTTAACTTGTAGATTGGCAAAGATTTTTTTAAATGATTTACCCAAAATGGACACTCACACCCACTGCTTATGGAAATGAAGGTTGGAGGTTTGTACTCTATCTTTACTCAAGGGCAATTGGAATACATATGGATAAACATGCTCTCTCTCTCTCTGTCTCTCTCTCTCTGTCTCTCACTCACACACACACACACATATATAAATAAATATTTGTGTAACTACATAAAGATGTATGCAGAAGTTAACCAATAAGGAATTGCTTAAAGTAAATCCATTAAAGGACACTATAGAAGGAAACATCAGCTAGTTAAAATGCTGTAGATTTATATTTACAATGGGTAAACAATTAACTATTATAATGGGGTTTAGATTAGATAAAGCACATTTTCATTTTTGTCAAAAAAAGGAGGAAAAAGAAAAAAATGTATCTATCCATCTCTATATATAAATGGTGGGGATGTCTAGAATAATATACCAATGGAGTTGAAGATATTTGTATCTGGGTGGTCATTTCAGGAATTTAATTTTTGAAACTTTTTTCTTTTTTATGTCTGCTTTTTTTTCTTCTAAACTTTCTCTTAACTTGAATATCAGAGCCACTTCTGTTCCTTCTTTTTTTAATTGCTTTTTATGGGGCTGTCTTTGCTCCTCATAGATAGCTCTCTGAGTACAAAGATGGTGTTGTATGCATCTCAGTGTCCTCAGTGCTAGGGAGGTCCTGGGCAGATGATGCTGACAAAATAGTTGGTCTGTAAAGGAAAGTGATTATCATTCCCACAAACTTGGTTGCTAATATTGTTGGTACAAAGCAGATTGCTACAGGTACCTGTAGAGCTCATTTTACCTGTGACCTATAGGTTCAACAGAAATGATGAGAGGACGCAAGTTGGAATATCTCTGTGTTCCTAAAGGACTTCTACGTCATCAAGAATCTAGCTTTTTAACAATGACCCCATATTGCCATAAGCTTCAGCAGATAAGAAGTGGACAATGATAGCTATTCTAGTGCTATCTGGAGAGACGTGTTTGGTTTGGTCAGGGGCATGGTTTCCAATTAAAAGAAAGCATTGGTGTAGCTTTGGAACCACCACCTTCAGGAATCACCTGCAGGAATACAAGCTGAGTTACACCCAACTATTAATATCATTTCTTTTGTGAGATGGGCCAGATTGGGTCATCGGTTTTCTTGTGAGAGTGAGTTGTTAAAATCTGGGTATTTATTTGGAAATCATTGGCTGAAGAAAAGAGAGGAGTGGTCAAGCAGGGATTGACTGGTTTTTATCCTTTTCCTAATGCTGTGATTTTTTAAGTTGGAAAGAAAATTAGTTGTCTTTTATTTTGCTGGGTTCCCATGAAGTTAATTAACTTTCCCAGGACCTCAAAGCTCATTAATGGATGAATGCAGAGCCAGAATACAGGCATCCTGAATTGTGACAATTTAGCTTGGCCTGAAGTTCTGTGAAAGGCACTGGAAGTTTTTTGGTTTTTTTTGTTTTTGTTTTTGTTTTTTTTAATAAGCGAAACCTACAGTCCGTTTTCCGATTGGCACTGGGAGAAAGCAGCATGCCTATTCGCAACTGCATGGTGTGGAACAGGAGGTTTTGTACTCTTGGGAACCAGTTGCTGCCCACCAGTTCTTACCCTGGCCAGTTGCTCCTCCCATGAAGACAGCTGTGGTTGCTGGGACTTGAGAATCTGCATGTGTATATATTCACTTATTCATTCACCATCGATCCGTTCATTCATCCAACAAATATATATCAAGCTCTTGCTAGGCACATGGTACTCTCCTGGGCACTTAAGCTATATCAGTGAACAAAACTGAAGAAAGCCCCTACTTACCTGTAGCTTACGTTCCTACTACAGACCACAGACAATAACCATAATTAGTAAGAAAACTGCAGAGGATGCTGGAAGCTGACCAGTGCCTCGTAGAGCAGGGCAAGGTTAATAGGGCTGCAACCAGGGGAAGTCCCATTGTAGATAACTCCAGGAAGGACATTCCAAGCCTGGTGTTTTCCAAGAATAATAATGGGAGCAGTGTGACCAGAAACATGGGGAGAAGAGACATGGGACCAGATCGTGCAGAGCCTTACAGACCATGGGAAAGATGTCAGCTTTTCCTCTGAGTGAGGTGAAGGGCCACTGGAGGGTTTTGAACATGGAGGGATGGAAACTGATCCACATAGGTAAGGGGTCCCTCTCATTGCTCGGTTGAGATTAGACCAGATGGGGGCCAGAGCAGAAGCAAGGAGGCCAGTTAGGAGACTGTTTTAGCAAGCTAATCCCCTTCCTGAAGTTGGCAAAGGGAGATCTGCAAGTAGTGATCCCTCCCAAACCCAGGCCCCATGGGAGGACCCAGGCCTTCACATTCCATTTTCCCATCTACAATTAAATATTACAGGCCCCACGTTCTGCTTGGAAGACACAGGACCTAGCATTTATCTGTTGGTGCTCCTGCAGAGGACTGTTCTGTCCATGCCCATGTCCCTAATCGTCCGTTAGCTTCTGTGTCACTGGAAATGAAAATACGAAGCCATGAAATGCTCCTGAGGGCAAGAGCATCTTCTTTTTCTAGTTGTGCTCTCTCTATTTGACAACAAACTAAGGGGGAACTTGGAAAAGTAAAGGCAGAATTGAAACATAATAATTAGGAAATTAATACTAGATTACAATATTGGTGGGAACTTGATTATAGAATATG